ATGATTCAACATCCTCTATATGTTTTTGTATACTGAGAATGATCACATAATTAATTGAAAATACTTTATCTGTTTAAAGTTTTTAGCTTCCTATCTAAGTTAAGCTATATAATTATTTATGTCATTTACTAAAAATTTTTTCTTTAAACATCAAAATGAATCATACATAACTTTAATTGGTGAAAAGTACTGGAAAATTTTGTAATTAAGGACTTCCACTCAGGCATTTAAACATACGGAACAACTGTTTTGCCTTGAAACAGAACATAGAGTATATTTTTTTTACATATTTTATGTTTTGTTCCAAAGAAAAAGTATCTTGTAATCAATTAAAATTTTAAATTAATATAACATAAGAAGTTTTAACGTAAAAACAAAACCAAATTTGTTACTTTTATGTTTTAAGTTTTGTAATTAAATGATGTACTGATGATGATGGGAGGAAATTTTGCTCAAAGATGTTATGAAGAATAAACATAAGAACACATTAGGAAAGGTTTGAGGTGAAGTGATGAATTAGTAAATAATATGAAGTTGACCTTCCTTTTATATAAGAATCATCCTGTTATTTTACAATAAAATTAATAAAATAATACATTGATTATTTATATGTACAAAGGGGTTTCAATAAGTAATGCCTTTTATTTTTTTAAGCAAAATTTTTAATGCATATGGAAAATACAGAAAATATGAAATGAAATATGTGGATTTGGCTACTTCTTGACATAGAAACCATTCAGGTTCAAGCACTTTACCCAGCGGTGTCCCTGCTTGAAGATACACCTGTGTTATAGAATGCCAGTTCCTGGCCATACATCCACCTGCAAACAGCTGTTTTAACCTCCTCGTCAGAATGGAATCTCTCTCCAGCCAGGAATTTCTTCGAAGGACCAAACAATACACTAAGCAATTTTTCTGACAGCGTCTTCAAGTGAATGTGGCGGTTGCTTTGAATCATTTGATCAGCAGCAGTGACTGTTTGAAGCGAAGCTGCTCTTACCGGACAATCTAACCTGTGCTCATCAATCACACACTGATGACCATTTTTAAACATTTTGCACTACACAATCGTTACTACACTTTCTGCATTTCAGCAAGAATTTATTCATTTCTTGCCCCTTGCCCATAGAAAACAAATAACACTTAGCTGCTCTTGGAGCATGGACAATGATAGCATGCATGCTATTTTTTTTCTATTTGTCTGAAATGTACAACAGGCAACACAAGTGTTCCTATTATGCAATAGTGTTTTCAGAAATTCATACTTCATTTACTATATTCATGTTTTTGTGTACACATTAAAATGTTTGTTTAAAAAAATGAAAGGCATTACTTATTGAAACATCCTCATATAATATAGATAAAAAGTAAAAATATTTAATTTATGTTGCATTAATTCAATTTCAATTTATNTATGATAGCAAAATGTTTACTATTTTAAGATTAGATACATAACTAAAACATTTTTTTAAGTCAATAAAACTCATTAAATACAAAGAGTCTTGGTGAATTAATATCTTTATTATCTATAAAATGATAATTGTCATCTTTCAATAGAAAAAAGGAAAGTTACAAAATAGGAAAAGTTATGAAATCTCTGATAATTGGCTTCCTTTTCAGGATGAGAAACAATTCAAAAAAAGAATGAATCAATTCCCACTTGGAATTATTTTTCCTCTTTTTCTGCCTTGTCTCTCATTGTACAGGTTTGTTTTGAAAGGTATTGCTAAACTTTAACAGTATGTTCGCCCACCAGTGACCAAGTGGTCTTTGTACCCTGAACACTGGGAGTTCAGTCGTTGGTTTGCGCCTCGCTTGGACAGGCTGGCCATGTGGAGTTTTCCAGGTTTTCTCCATGTCTGTAGCACCTAAATAAGGGCCAATTTCCCTTAAAAAAACCTCCCGGAAAGCATCCCCCCTAGGCAGATTGCCCAAGTGTTGCATTGTCATAACTTAACAAACAAACAAACATTAACAGCATGTCCTGTGGGTTATAAAAATGAAAAAATTTATATAAACGTAGGTCTGAAAATGCTTCCTTTAAAAATTGTAGCAATTATTAAATTTTATGTAATATAAATGAATAATAAGTTATGGCTTTAACATCTGTTTTTTTTAAGTGTTGGATTATTTCTCATAATAAAGTGTAACATAAATGACAGAAGGCTTTCTTTACATATGTTTAATTCTCTTTTTTCATTTGCCAAGACACATTTCAGGTCTAGCCCCTCCTCTGTCGACTTTACATATGTAAAGAAAGCCTTGTGTCATTTATATGAGAAATAATCAAATAAGAAGATTGACACGGTTTCACATAAAGAAACTTTTAACATGATGAACCATTACTCTAACTCAGAAAAAGTGGATGTTCATTTTATATATGGTCAAGTGGATGTGATAACAGCAATACATGTGAAGCACATCTGTGTAGAGAACATTTCAAACTATTGTAATCTAGAAAGGTAGCATTTTTGGATCTATGTTTATATGGAAATTTTTTCATTTTTAGAACCCATAGAACATGCTGTTGAGACCTTTCAAAAAACATGCTGTATATTCTAAATTTGAAGTAGATTGATTTCTCATTTAGTAAAGGATCTGATTGATTTGATATTATACTTACTCAATCCATTTATGAAGCACAATAATTAATATAATCTCTGTATTTCTTAACTTGAAACATAAATCTAATTCTAATTAATTAATTTAACAAGATTTTAATCATTCTTCTACTATAATTCATTTCTGTTGTTTATTAAAAGTGAAAATACAGTTTAATTTTACTTAATCAATTTTTGATTATCATGTATATTTAAACTCTAATAAATACAAGTCTAGAGCACATTGAAAATTTTAAAATCAGAAATTTTGTGTATCTGCATAAAAATAAAATGAAATTTAAAAGCATACAGTACTTTTCAAAATCTGTTTTAAAAATATCAAATAGCACAATATAAGAATCAAGTCAGTAAGATGCAACTTTAAAGCTTTGATTGATTTGATACTTCTGGAGAAAGAGGGGGAGAAATAGAGCTTACTTTCTTTTGCTAAAACATAGCTAGATCATAAACGAATCATTTTTTATGTGTTATATAAAGTAAGCAATATACATTTTAATAAGAAGAGAAATAGTTAACTGCAGTTTGGCCATATTAACTATAGTCAAACGAAAAGTACCATATGTAGAAATATAAATGTATTTTTTTTATTAAGCATATGTTTTTGCTAAAGAGTTTACCTAGTTAGTAAATTAAAACCAAATGGATTTTGTTTGATCTTTACTTCCAGATCAATTAATTTAAGAACTATAATCATATATATTATTCATCAAATTACTAATTACCTTTAACTTTAGACAAAAGTTCAAAGTTATTTGAAATAATAACTAAAAGGAAGCCTTATGTAATCAGGTGTTTAATGATGTGATTATGATAATCTTTGAACTTATTTGTTTACATATTTTATACAATAACGTTATTTAGCAAATTTAAATAAGTTTAGTTTAGTTGCAATTATATTGATACACAGAACAAAAACTTAAGATTGAATCAAATAGAAAATTTATGTGAAAAATAGACCTATATGAATTTTGTGTACAAATTTACAATAAACTCTTGATTTAATAGATAAAAAATTTCTGTTTTAAGAGGAAATTTAGAACCTTCTTTTGATTTGTGAATAGAGCATTCTTAAAGATTAGATCAGGGGTGACCAACAGTTTTTGCCCCCAGGCCGAATTGGAAAGAAAACTTTATCCACAGGCCTTAGGAAGATTTTGAGGTGGTGCGAGATCTCATTGTGGTGTCAACCCATAGAGACTGAATTGTAGATAGAGATTACAGATACATTTTTCACATCATCATGCATTATCAACATTCTACGCTGTACTTACGAGATTTGTAATGGGGGTTAACTCTAAATGAACAGTGAGTTATTGACCTTTTTTTATTTTTTTTTTCTCTTTTGGCCGTCAGAATCTTTCAATGAGCTACTCAGACTTCAGTAACTAATATTGAAAGATTGATCGCAGGCCACATATATTCATTAGACGGGCCGTATGTTGGCCATGCCTGGGTTAGATCACTGGGTCTATGGGTATAAATTACTTAATGTACTTCATACTTATACATTATAATATCATTATAACTTCCTGTAGAATGTAAGTTCATTTTTAATATATTTTTAAAATATATTTGATTTAATGGATTTTTCAGCAACAGAAAGCACCACTTCTCCAATTAGTCAGTTATACTGAAGTTCTACTGTAATTTTTTTAAAGTAAACCTTACAGTTATTTTGTTTTTTATTCATTATATTTCTTATTTCATAAATTCATATATTACTATACTTTATGTAATCTAATTCACAATTTGTTAATGTTATCGAATGACTAAATTAAAATTAAATCTTATTTCAAGAAAATTCAATATTTTAATTACGACAATTAATTATTAATATTTTAAAATATACTTTCAGAGATATTTTTGTTTTGTATAAAAATAAAGTGAAATTACCAAACCAGTATGATAAAAAAAAGATACATACAAAGAGTAATAACATCACTGAAGAAAAGAAAGGAGAAGTTGAAGATCAAAATAATGATGAATTTATTAAGGTTGATACTTGGTTTATTTATTTTTAATAAAATTAATAGAGTTTTTATATAAATCAAAATTCTATTAATATTTATAAATTATAAATTTTACATTTTGTAAATTTCTTAAACTAAAAACATTTAAATATTCATTTAATGTTAAAATCTTAACTACTATGAATTGATTTAATCAATTTTATTTTCATTTTTTATAGATATTGATTAAATTCATTTGGATGAATAAATGGCAAAATTGAACTTATCGACTAAAATTAATGCTTCAAAATATCAAATTATAATAATAAATTAGCATAGAAAGCATAGAAAAAAGCTACAGTACTAAATGAGTGTTCAAAAATACTTGAACTCTTTTTTTATATTATACTTTCTATGCTATTATAGTATTTTTTTTATTTCAGTATTCAAATCTACTTACTGTAATTAGATATTGTTATCTGATTTAGTTTGTCCAAAAACATATAAGTTAAAATACACTTATAAAACTTTGTTTTTTTTTTTCTTTTCATTTTTGGTTTTTTATGCCCTGTGGATACTGAGGGCCTTTTTCCATGTCTATTAGGAATTCAACCTGGCCCACAGTAGGATTGGCCAAGTAGTGAGTGTGTGTATGTCTGTCATATCTCAGACATCCATAAAAAATTCCTGGAGTTATTTGTCCAAATTAGATCCCAGTTCCAAAAGCCTGACACCTTAATTGTTTGTCCATCTAGCCATGTGTAAAACTTTGCTTATTGTCATCAGAGTTATAATTATCATTCTCTTCAGATAAATGGGTATTTTCAAACTTTTTTAATTATCAGCTCTCAAATGTGGCTCTGATGAGGCATTATCATTATTAATCTAAATAATCTAAACTAGTGCTTTAAAACAGTTCTGTTATATTGTTCATAATAGAACAACTTGGTGCACATAATTATCAGCAAAGGATTTTTCTCCAGTGAGAATCTTTCTCAAAAATATGTAATTGTAAACTACCATAAATGCAAAATTTTGGAAAGTTTACAATTACATATTTTTGGATAATATAAACTAAAATTTAGGCACTGATAAATTAAAATGACCTTATTTAATAAAGTGTATTTAGTGAACATTTAATGTTTAATAAACTATTTTATTAAAATAAACTAGAACTCCATTCTAGTAAAAATCATAGTGCTTTAGTAGAGTTAAAAACTTTAAAATACACAAGAAGAAACATTCAAGTATATTAAGATCAAACAGTTCATCTTCAGAAATGTTTCAATAGTGGATACTGCTACTGTGGAGAGGACATCATCTATATATATAAAAATGAATGTGTGTGTGTGTGTGTGTGTGTGTGTCCTTCATGCATTACCACACCGTTTATCCGATTGCCGTGAAACTTTGGGAAGTTGTTTAATATACTCCAGCAAAGGTTTGTGGCATAGTACGATTGCCATGAAGCTTTGGAAAGTTTTTTAATTTTTTAATACACTCCCGCGAAGTACATTTATCCTACG